ATTGGGATGATGTTGGCTTGTGGTTCTATGGTTCCATTTTTTAGCCAGTTCAGTCTTAATACTCTTTTTGTCGTGACTCGTTTGAAAATAAGAAACTCCAGATCGAAGTCCGTTGTTTTAATAGACGAAAACTGAAGCCGATTAAACGATTACTGTTGATGGGACCCGAGATTGAACTTAAGCAAAAGGAACCGCGCCGCCCAACGTGGGGCTCGAACCCACGACCCTGGGATTAAGAGTCCCATGCTCTACCGACTGAGCTAGCCGGGCAGGTGAAAGTCGCCCCTTTTCTAGATCTTTTCAAAGAAGTAAAATTTTTTTTAACTTGCTCCAACACTGACGTTTTGCATTATTATTATTATTATTATTATTTTTCCATAATTTTTTGGTAAAGTTTTCCGCTACTTTCAAATGCGCGTTTCGTGCCTGGTTCTGTGTGCGCAAACGTGCTGATGAGTAAAATGCACGAGCGGCCCTCTAGCGGTCAGCAGGGGAACGGCGGGTGCAGATGCTGCGGGACCCAGGCGGAGACGCCGCGCGAGCGCGGGCCTGCGGTTCACGCAGAGATCCCGGGGGAATCGCGCACCCGCTGTGGGCGCCGAGGGTGTCCCGCCACCTGCGTGCCCGACGCACGAGCTGGACTGCCCGGCTCCCCTTCAGAGAAGGCCAGAGTCCAGGACACGGCTGCAGAGCTGGCCTCTCGGCCCCGTGGGGCTTTGAGGTTCCTGGGTTTTCCTAGGGCCGGACGGTGGTTCAACTCAGCCATGCCCTGTTGTTCACACAATAGAAAAGGATTAAAAAGCTAACGCGGGCTCTGACATCCGTACAGCGTTTGCTCGCACCCAACTGAAAGGGGAAGACATTTATCCTACAGACTGATAGCATGTCGCTGTGGGAGGGGTCATTATTTCCAACCTCTCCCCCACGAAAACGAACATTAGAGATTTATTCTGCTTTTCTGATAGGAACTATAGTTCCCAGTCACCACCACATCGTCTCAGTTGATGAGGGAGTGCTCGACTTGCAATGAAAAAAAAACAGGATTAGAAAAAGCATAATTTGCCCTACCCTTACAAGTGAGGATTACCGACTGGTTTAAACATTACATTGATAGCTGGGGAGAACTGGACATTCACACAGGGTCAAGGTGACACTCCACATGTTACTTGCTAGATGCAAGGCGGGCAATCTAACCGTTTAGGGGAGGGATCAGGCTGTCACACCCTAAATGAAAAAAGTCATCTGAGTTTTGCTAGTGGTTTACTAACCTTCATCAAGACAGTGTGTCTCCAGGAGTGACGGATGAAGTTCACGAGATCAATGGTAGTGATTTATTCTAGCCGAAATATGTTTCCCGGGAAATAAAGAGGGACGAGGACACAGGAAAGCCAAAGGAGCATCAGCGCAAAGTCAGAAGGTCGCAAATTCTGCGAGAACCACAGGTCTAGTGTCTTCAACAAGTGGTACAGTTTCAGAAATGACTTTTTTGCTAGATTAGAAGAGACAGAGGCCATAATAATCAGACCCAATCCCGGACTGGATGCCGTTCTGGGAAAACGAGCTGTAAAAGAGATATTGGGGTCCACTTGGGAAATTTGAATATAGTTTGACTATTAGATACGATGAAAATTTACTGTAATGGAAAAGCGGAGGTGAGTGATTGAAAAAGGCAGATTGCAGATAAAATGGAATCTCTCACTTGGTTAAAAGGAAGCCATGGATGAAGGTATTAATGCTTGATACTTGGGAGGTAGGAATCCTCAGTTTTCACTTTTAAAGTTTTCGCTTGTCTTTAATTTTTCACTTTCTAACAGGTATGTGTATACTTGTCCAATCAAAGAAAGGTTTTTTTGTTTTTTATGTTTTTTAACAGATGAGAAAGAAAAAAAAGTAAAACAAGGGTAGGACTTTAAAATGGGACCAGTACACAGTGACGCTTTACGATTAGGCTTTCAGAAACGGGAACGGAGTGAGTGACAGGGTCGGAGGCTCAGGAAGAGGGCATGAGTTAAAGGCCCGGCAGGTTCCCGGGGCAGGAGGAGACCACAGTCCACTTTATGTCACTCACCAGCTTTGCATCCTGGAGCGAATCGATCAAGCCCGCCCACGTGGGAAGGAGGAGAATGATGAGCTTTGCTGGGTCCTGGCAGAATGAACGAAGGTCCCCGTGTTGCGGTTTGATCTGGGGCGAGTGGCTTGTCCGCTCTGGTCTCAGGGTTCTCCTTCGTTCACCCACGGGGGACGTGGGCACTTCAGTCCAGCTCTGTTCTCCCCTCAGTAGTCGGGTGAGGCAGATCACAGCATGCTCCATGACGTCCTGTCCCATGTAGAATTAAAGCCTCGCTCCCTCCCTGACCATGAGGCACCTGCTCCCCTCTCTGACCTCACTCAGCAGCCAGCCAACCCCCACCCCGCTCTGTGCTGGCTCCACCCACAGGGGCCTCTGCTGTCCCTCTGGGGCACCATGCTTTGTCCTGCCCCGGGGACTTGGCACTTGCCAGGCCCTCTGCTTGCAGCGCTTTTCTCCGGTGTGTCCCAAGACTGACTCTTACCCCCTGGGTCTCAGCTGAAATGTCACCTCCTCAGAGAAGCCCTCCCTGACCTACCTCTGTCACCAAGCCCCACTCCTGTCTTGTCTCCCTCACGTCACCCTAGGATTTAAAGACGTGGCGTTCGCACACGCATGCTCCCGTAGCCTCAGTGCGCAGCCTGATGAGCGCGCCCACGTCCAGAAACAGACCGTGAGCCGCCTCCCCCAAAGCCCCCCACGTCCTTTTACCACGCCCCCCCGGGGGACCGCTATCCTCACTTCTAATGGCACAGATGAGTGTGGCCTGTTTCTGGAGTTCACAGAAACGGACACACGCAGCGCGCGCACGTCCGTGGCTGTTCGCCTGCGTCTGCGTGAGGACAGGAGTCGTCGCTCCCCCGGGAGAGCTAGTGCCTGCGTCTTTAATGGGAGGGACGCCAGGATGTTTTAGACTGAGGGTCAGGAGCCAGTGGGACTAAGGAAAGAGGGGGACACCTGGAACAGAGTCCTTGGGGAGACAGGAGGGGGCACGGAGCCTTCGTCCCTGAGTCCTGGAGGGCGGGTGCCCACTCCGCAGTATCCAGAGAAAGGGAAAAGTCGTGGCTGCCACTTACTGATGCGTGGCACCCGGGTGGGGTGTGTGTGCCAGGATGTGGTCCGACTTGTCCTTGTCGCCAGGCAGCAAGGCCAGCTGCTGCTGGTGGCAGGGGAGGAATGGCAGGTGGATGGGTAGGGGGCGGGGGGACAGAGCAGCGAATGGAGCTAGGGAGGAAGAGGTGAAGGGCTGGTGGGTGGCGCGAAGAGGAAGGTGACAAGGGACTGGAGGAGGAAGACTACATGGTCTGGTCTGAGTGAGGCGTCTGATCTTCGGACTTCCCAGGCGGGGCAGGTGGTGGTGGGGGGCACGCCCGAGCCTCCCGCTCCGAGAGTAAGTGGCTGAGGTGCAGCGAGCACAGGAGGTCAAGGAACTGAGTGGCACGTGCCGCGTGGGTACCCCAAGAGGGCGCAGGGCCGGAGTGGGGGGATAAGGGGAAGTGCGGGGGAGGCTAAACGATGAAGAGGTCTGTGGGCCTCTGAGGGCAGAAGCTACAGAGAGGCTGGCCAAGGGTCCAGCTGTCCATCTGCTTGAGGAACGAGAGAGGGGTCCCCCGGGAAGGGCAGGTTTCCCGAAGGCAGGGGTTGGACAGAGAGTGTTCCTTGCAGGGGCTCCTGGGAGCATAGGGGGCAGGGAGCAGGAAGCCAGAGGCCGGCTTGGGGCCACGGGAGGACAGGACAGATGGCCAGGGTTTGAGGCGGAGGCGGGCCCGAGTCGTGAGGATGGAGTTGGCCGGCGTCCAGGCTCCCAGGGAGCCCCTGCTGGGAGTCCGTGGGCGCCAGCCTCGGTCCACGCAGACGGGGAATCGCGGTGTCACCTCGCGTGGGATGCAGCGGCCCCATGGGCGAGGGCCAGGCCTCTCTCCCGAGGGGGCCTTGGTGCTGAAGCCGCCTAGGGACCCTGGGGCCTCTGCCGCCCCGCTGCGAGAGGAGGCCGCAGGTCCCTTTCCCGGCAGGGGCAAGCTTGCCGGGCCGGGCGCCCGCGGAGGGGCACCTCCTGGAGCACACAGCTCGGGGACAATTCCAGAACGTCCCGATT